CCCATTATACATGAAATTTTGTGATCTAGCAATTGTTACTTGGTTGTCACAGTATATACATACTGTGGGCACAAATTTCAGCCATTCTAGAATATCCTAAAGAAAATTTCAAAGTTATTATGTTTCTTCTCCCAATTTGTCTAGAGCTAAAAACTCATATTTCATCATGGATATAGTTTCCAAGACACAACTCCTCCTTCTAAAGTGAATACATATCCACTTGTACCTTTGGTATCTTGAATATTAGATATCCAACTAGCATTAGAGTATCCTTATAAGATAACATGATCTCTAGAATTATGCAAATCGTAATCTCAAGTATATCTAAGATATTTCAGTATCCTTGTTTTTGCTTTTCGATGATTTTCACTTAGATTGCACGTGAATCTGCTTAAATTGCTCATAGTAAAAGCGATGTCTGGTCTCGTACAACTCATGAGATACATTAGGCTACCTATGACCCTTACATATTCCACCTAGTGAATACTTTCACCCTGATTTTTAGACAAATGTGAACAAGAGTATATTGGAGTTATGGCTATACCAGAATAATCCTTGTTAAATTTTTCAAGAATCTTGTCCACAAAGTGTGACTGTGTTAGTATAAGGCATTCAGATGACCTTTTAATTTGGATGCCAATAATTCGTATCGACCAATCTCATATCTTTCATGTCAAATCTTGAATTTAACATATATTTGGTACACTTTACCATCTTATTGTTATTTCCAATAATGAGTATGACATCAACATATAAGCATAGAATAGTATATCATATGTTGATTGTTTTGACATATACACACTTGTTACACTCATTTATCTTGAATTTGTTTGTCATCATGACACTATCGAGCTTCTCATGCTATTGTTTTGGTGTTTGTTTAATTTGATACAAATACTTCACCAACCTACAAACTTTTCTTTCTTGACTTAGAACTACATGACCCTTAGGTTGTTTCATGTAAATTTCTTCATCAAGGTCTCTATTTAGGGAAGATTTTTAACATCTATTTGATGCACTTCTAGATTTTTTAAAGCAACAATTGTGAGTATCATTAATATGGATGTTATCCTTCATACAAGAGAGTATGTATCAAAATAGTCAAGGCCTTTCTTTTATCGATATCCTTTTATTACCAATCTAGCCTTATACTTATCAATTGTTCCATATGCTTTTTTTTTTTGAAAATCCATTTAGAATTTAGTGATTTAATACCAAGAGGAAGATCCACTAATTCTCACGTATGGTTCTGCATGATGAAATCTATTTCGCTCTTAATGGCTTCCTTCCATAAGGTGTCTTCAGAGGATCGTATAACTTTACTATGTATTTGAGGTGTAGCATTTAACATAAAGGTTAGGAAGTCTGGTCTAAAGAATTTTTCAACCCTTTCTCATTTACTCCTTATTGGTTCTATTTCAGTTTCATCCTCTTGTTGGTCATCTAGACTATCCTCATTGTTAGTCTCTAAAGTTTATTTTAAACTTTGATTCAACCTCCTTAGATTTAGAAGGGAAATTTTTTACAAATAATGATGCATTATTTGATTCCATTATCGTGTTCTTATGAATCTCAGGATTCTATGATTCATACACAAGAAATCGATACACATTACTACGTTCTGCATAGCCAATTGTTGAATTGTGTTTCGATATAACAAATTTTAAAGCCAAAATGTTTTTGGACTTGAATTGAATTTATTCAAAGTTTTCAAAAAGTTTCAAAAATAATTCAAAGCCCATTAAATTCGGATTTGAGCAAAAATGTTCAGAAGTACATATACCCCCCAGGATTATCCATACCCCCATAAAGGCTAAAATTCTAGAATGCTCATAGGGTACCGATATCCCCTACAGGGGTATCCATACCCCCTGGCTGCAACGGCTAGTAACAGCTAGTTAATTTGAATTTAATGAAGGAGTACTGATACCATATGTAGGGGTACCGATACCCCCTATTATGGGCAGCCTTTTTGAGTAAAAAAATCATCCCCAAATGGCTCCAAAATATCCCCAACAGCTATATACGACTTCAAAAACATTCCAAGCTATAAATACAAGCTAAGGACACTTGAAGATGGAAGAGAACAACTGTCCAAGTAATCAAACACAAGAGAAGAGCTTTTTATTCTTACTTTCCTTTCTCTTGTAAATATTTGTTCTTGTGAGCTTAATTCTTGTAAACACCTACCTTTGAGAGGTTTATTTGTTTACTTCTTTTATCTTTTTGTAAAGGGGAAAGGTTCTAGCTAAGCTCGTGTAAAAGCTAGGGAAAGGTTTTAGTTTAGCCATTGAAAAACTAAGGAGTTGTAAAGGTTATCTCTTTGTCCTTGAAAAAGAAAGAACAAATTAGTGAATTTGTTGGAAAATCTTTGGTAAGGAGCTAAGGTAGTGGATGTAGACTTGGTTGAGAAGTCGAACCACTATAAATCGATATGCAATTCTCTATATTTCAATCTCCTTACTCCCTAAACACAAAAACCGTTCCGACCCCTCTTTACAAATCGTTCTAGTTGTCGATTCGAGCTTCCAAAAATCCCAACAATTGGTATCAGAGCCTAACTCATTAGAAGGATTAGCATCCTTGAGACGATCCTCGAAGAAGCTCTACCAATTCCTGACGTAACCGACAAAGAAATGACTTCAACCTCTGGTGCTTATTACCTTGAAGATATACCTATTATGGAATCGCAACCGCTCAACAAGCCACCCTTCTTCTATGGAGAAAATTATGCTCATTGGAAGAATAAAATGATGTACTTTATTCAAGCCTATGATATATGAGCTTGGAACTCGATCATTAATGGTTACTTCTCTCCACCCGACAAGTACAACGATTGGAGCAAAGAAGAGCAGAAAAAGTTCCAGCTTAATTCTAAGGCTATACATATTCTCTTTTGTGCTTTAGGCTCAAATGAATATGGAAGAATCTCATCTTTTTCCAGTTCCAAAGAGATTTGGGACAAGCTCCAAATCACTCATGAAGGAACCGACGAAGTGAGGGAATCAAAGAAAAGTCTTCTCAACCATATCTACGATAACTTCAAGATGAAACCCGATGAAGACATCAAAGCTATGACAGATAGATTTTTCGTGATTGTCAATGATCTCAAGGGATATGGAGAAGTAATCCCTAGCTTGTGAAGAAAATGATCTACTCTCTTCCAAAGAAGTGGCAATCGAAGAAGACGACCATTATCGAATCAATAAACCGAAAGTCTCTCTCTCTCAATGAGCTAATTGGTTATCTTCTCACTCATGAGATGATGATAAAGAAAGATGAAGAAATGGAAGAGAAGAAAAACAAGAAGAAGAAGAAGAAGAAGAATGTAGGCATTGCCTTCACCAATGAAAGCTATCAAGATTCAAGTGATGAGGTGGATGAAGATGATGAAGAACAAGAAGAAGAGATGGTCAAGCTCTTGAATGAACTCAAGAGATTCATGATTTCCAAGGAAGTGAAACATGAATCAACCAAGAAGAAGAATCCCCCGATGTGTTTCAATTGTCAAAGAAAGGGGCATGTCAAGAATGAATGTCCTCTTCTAAATAAAAAGGAGAAAAAGGCATTTGTTGCATCTTAGAGCGATGAAGATGATTCCAATGATGAAGATGAAGTAGTCAACCTAGGCCTTATAACCACTCAAGAAGAATTCGAGGTATCTTCTAACTCAAATGAGTTTAATTCATTTACTTTTGATGAGTTACAAGATGCTTATAATAGGTTGTATTTGGGATTTGATACCATGAATTCCAATTATACGAAATTAATTTCAAAACTCAAAATTAAAGATAATTTGATTTTAAAAGCAAAAGTTGATTTTGAAAATCAAAAAGAAATTTTGAAAAATAATTTAGAACTTTTAAAAGTCAAAATAAATTATTTAGAAAAAGAAAATTTTGAGTTAGGAGTTAAGCTTGAAAGCTTAATAAAAGAAAAAGAATTAATTTCTAAAACAACCTATTATGTTTAAATATGACAAAATGCTCACATTGTCATTATCATGGTTATATGGAACATACTTGTCATTTGAAGAAAGGAAAACGTTTTAAAATTAGGCAATAATAGATTCCGAAAGGAACAAGGGGCATTGAAACTAACGTCCAAAGATCCAAAAGCAATTTGGATACCAAAATCAAAATAAATGTCTCTTGTAGGTGTGTAGGAGAAATGGTGATAAAAGTGAAGATATTCAAATGCTCTAGCCATACATGAAAAAAGAATGGGTAACCTCTAAGCTTAAAGCTTTTGTTTTTGATTAATTGGTTGCTCATTTAAGTTTAAGCATGCATGAGTTTTGAGTTTAAATAATTATGTATTTTTTTAATCTCATGTATGATGAAAACAATTGGTATGATGAACATTTTAAAGATTTAATAATTTTTCATAATTTTTAGTTCATCATAATGTATTTTGGTCAAAATTGGTTTTAATGCAAATGATATCTCTCTAACAATTGATATCAACTTTTCAAATGTTTTGATTTTATAAATTTTAAATTTTTGACCTAAAATTAAATGTTTATGCATGTGATTTAAAATGCAAAAGATATCTCTCTAACAATTGATATCAAAATTTTCAAATGCATAACATTTTTGGAAAACTTTATGCATATGCACTTAATTTCAATAATTGATATTGCAAAAAGTATTTTAGACTTGGATACATTGAAATTTATCTGCTACTAATATGTTTGTTATTCTTTGTTGAAATTCAATTTTATTTAAGTGTCAAGTTCTTAAAAGCTAAATTTTGTTTGGAATGCATCTATTAAGGGAGAGCTTTAATTTTTCAAATGATTTTTAAATGTCAAATTTATCTCTTACTCTCCAATGTTATTTTAAAACTTTAAAGATTGAATTACTTTTTATATAACAAAAAGGAGGAGAAGCTTGGTTTGAAAAATTCAATTTCTTAATGAAAAATGGGGAGCTTAACATTTTCTTATATTTTCCAACAATTGGTAACAATAGGTATCTTTTTAACAATTTATATCCTTTTGTTAACAATTGATATCTTTTTCATTAAACATTTTATTAAGGGGGAGTTTTGCCAAAAAAAAATTTCCAAATGTTTTGTTATATCAAAAAGGAGAGATTATTGAATTATGTTTCGATATAACAAATTTTAAAGGCAAAATGTTTTTGGACTTGAATTGAATTTATTCAAAGGTTTCAAAAGGTTTCAAAAATAATTAAAAGTCCATTAAATTCGGATTTGAGCAAAAATGTTCAGAGGTACCGATACCCCCCAGGGGTATCCATACCCCATGGAGGCTAAAATTACAGAATGCTCATAGGGTACCGATACCCCCTGCAAGGTTATCCATACCCCCTGGTTGTAACGGCTAGTTAATTTTAATTTAATGGAGGAGTACCGATACCCTATGTAGGGGTACTGATACCCTATGTAGGGGTACCGATACCCTATGTAGGGGTACTGATACCCTATGTAGGGGTACCGATACCCCCTATTATGGGCAGCCTTTTTGAGTAGAAAAATCATCCCCAAACGGCTCCAAAACATCCCCAACGGCTATATACGACTTCAAACACATTCCAGGATATAAATACAAGCTAAGGACACTTGAACATGGAAGAGAACAACTATCCAAGCAATCAAACACAAGAGAATAGTTTTTTATTCTTATTTTCCTTTCTCTTGTAAATATTTATTCTTGTGAGCTTAATTCTTATAAACACCTACCTTTGAGAGGTTTATTTGTTTACTTCTTTTATCCTTTTGTAAAGGGGAAAGGTTCTAGCTAATCCTGTGTAAAAGCTAGGAAAATGTTCTAGTTTAGCCATTGAAAAACTAGGGAGTTGTAAAGGTTATCTCTTTGTCCTTGAAAAAGAAAGAACAAATTAGTGAATTTGTTGGAAAATCATTGGTGAGGAGCTAAGGTAGTGGATGTAGACTTGGTTGAGAAGTCGAACCACTATAAATCGCTATGCAATTCTCTATCTTTCATTCTCCTTACTCCCTAAACACAAAAACCGTCCCGACCCCTCTTTGCAAACCGTTCCGGTTGTCAATTCGAGCTTTCGAAAATCCCAACACCAATAAAAATACAATCCATTGTTTTATGACCTATTTTCTTTTGCTTTGGTAATCATTGTTTTGAAAATCGGACCAGACCGGCCGGTTCAACCGGTTTAACCGGGAACCGCTGCCTAGTCCGGTTCAATTTACACCGGTTGAACCGCTACTAGTGAACCGACCGGAACCGTTAAACCGTTCAAACCGGACCGGCTGAAAACCGAAAAAAAAACGCCAATTTTGTATTTTTTAAAAAAAATTAAACCAAACGACATCGTTTGTTAAACGAGCCAAGTCGAACTCGAGTATTGTTGAGCTCGACTCGAACTTGAAAACTTTAGAAGTAAGCTCAACTCGACTCAAACTCACGAGCTAAAAATTATCAAGTTCAACTCAAACTCGAAATATAATATTGAAACTTGAACTCGAAAAGGCTTGAACTAAAAAAAATTAGAAGCTCGATTGAAGCCTAAAATTCGAGCATGATTAAAGTGAAAGAATAGTTCACTCAATGCTCACCAAAAGGCTCCATGATTTTGAATACCAAATTACCTCTATTATTTATAGAAGTTAGTTGGGATGCTCTTCTATGTTTCTTAGCCATGTGGGATTGTTTTATTCTCATATTTTCTCTTTAGACTTTTGGGATGCTCTTCTATGTTTCTTAGCCATGTGGGATTGTTTTTTTTTTAAATATTAAACCAAACAATATCATTTTGTTATGATTTTTTTAGCCCCAAATTTATTTTTTAATTATAGTTATATAATTATATTTATTATTTAATATGTTTTACCTTAAATATTATGTTGTAGTTAATTTTGAATCATTTTGTTTCAGTTGATTTTATGGTTTTAAACTTATATATGTTATGATTTGCTTTGAATATGACTTGTGATATAAAAAATTATTTTTTATTAATTATTTTTTTTATTTTATTTAATTTTTAAATAATTATGACGTCGTCTGGTTTTTCCGACCGGTTCGACCGGTTGAACCAGTGAACCGGTAGCATGGCCGGTTTGCTAACCGGTCCGGTTCTGAAAACCATGTTGGTAATAGGACCATTACCTTGGCAAGACACCTCATATTTTCAAATGTTTGTACGAAGATTTTCGACCTTTTCATAATTCGTATGGTGTCTTGTCTTTTTCCTTTCAAGGTACCTTATTTAAAAAATAATTAGCTGAAAGGACAACTTCTTCCACATGTTCTGTGATAACCCAAAACTGTCTAACAAGGCATTCATCATTTCTTTTAAAGTCTGATTTTTCCTCTTAGCTACTTCATTTGATTAAGGAGAATAAAGTGGTGTTACTTCATCAATAATACCATGTTGTGAACAAAATTCATCGAATGGTTCAACATATTCACCAGCACAATCACGTCTCACCATCTTAATATTTTTATTAAGTTGGTTTTCGACTTCTTGTTTATAGAGTTTGGAATTATCTATAGCTTCATATGTGCTTATAAATAACAATATTTCATACTATCGTCAATGAACATAATAAAATATTTATTCCCTCATCTCATTTAGACAAATTTCAAGTCACAAACGTCACTGTGAATTAAATCAAATGATTCGATATTTCTTTCAATAGTTTGAAAAGATGACATTGTTAATTTTGCCTCAGCACATGTTTCACATTTATGATTATAATTAATATGAAACAAATGAATGTGTTCCAAGTTAATTAATCTTCGTAGAGCATCATAATTAACATGTGCAAGCCTACCATGCCATAAATTAAATGACTCAAGCATATAAACGGAACTATAAACTTTATTCTTATTCATGCTTTTGGCTTTTACAAAGATAGCATTAAGTTTTCACATGTCATTCAATACATATCCTCTACCCACAAACATTCCCCATTTGGATAAAATTAGCTTTTGGGATTCAAATATCATTCTAAAGCCGTGAACACTTAGGAGTATTCCAGAAACAAGGTTTTTCAGTATGTCAGGCACATACAACACATTATGTAGCTTTAGTTCTTTGTCAGAAGTCATCTTCAAGACTACAATACCCTTCCCCTTGATTTCGAAAGTCGCAACATTGCCCATGTAGAACTTCTCCCCATTGTTGTAAGGTGTTAGTTTAGAGAAAGATTCTTTGTCGTAACAATATGATGTGTGGATCCAATATGGAGCCACCATTCTCTTGGTTAGAGTCAACCAACTTGTCTTCAGATATCACAACATATAGATCTATATCATCAACTCCCTTAGGCATTCTTTTCACAGCTTTAGCCTCGTGAGCTTTGGCTTTATTTAGATGTCTGCACTTAGAGGATTTATGCTCCATCTTTCTACAATTAAAGTGTCACGCCCCAGTTTTCATTCTATTTAAATTTGATTTGATTTAATTAATTTTTTGGACCAAATTATGAATTTTCAAAGTTTTTAAGAAAGTTTCTGAAAGTTCAAGGGCTTGTTCCCCGATTTGACCTTCATCTGTCTGCAAAGAAAAAAAAGTGAGATATTTGTTAACTTGTGGTTGTGGTGGCTTAAACTTATGACATAGGGGATGGTCACCCACACCTTAGCGACCAGACTAGGTCACTGTTGGTGTTAGGAAACACCTAAAACATCACTTAAACCAAATCGGTTGCAATTTTAAATCCCAAAATTCCCCCAAATCTAAGCCAAATCTCTAAGTTTGAAATCCCCAAATTTCCCAAACTTCTTGACATCATCCATCGTCAATCTTGTCACCTCCGATGATTGTATAGTGCATCATTAATACCGTCGTGATCACTGTCCTCTCCTGACCAAAACCCAATCAGTCGGTCATCGTAAAGATTAGTTGTTCGCTGTAAATAATCGTTTGATTACTTGTCGAAACTTAAAAACTCATTTCTCTCTTTCTTATTTTGACCATTGTAGTTGTCGGTGACTGTCGCCGATAATTTCACTGAAAGCGTCGCCTTGTCCTGACCAAAACCCAACCCTTCCCGCACAGGTTGGCCCTGCCATTCGCCATGAAAAAGCCATCAAACGTATGTTGAAGAAACCCTTCATTGTCTCAGTTTTTCTAAGATTCCGACCAATCCCGTCGTCGGCTGGCCACATTGCCTCCGCCATCTGGTTTCTAAATCAGTTCCGATAAAAACCCTGTCGATTACGTTTCCTCTCGCTACCATTTTTGCCATCATCCGTTGGGCAAGCGCTGATTGTTTTATCTTTAATTTTCATTGACTTTTGGCTGATTTTTGGTGTTGTTTCGAATTGATCTTGGTGTTGATTGTTTTTCGGTTAATCGATCATCGTCCCCATCCCCGCCACACGTGCCGCCACACGCCACCGACGCCCGTGTGATTCGTTCCCAGTCAAGAGTCTTCTAGAACCGAGTCAACCTGAATATAAGAGTCACACCCATAATAAAATGGATAATTAATATACATAAATTTATATTCCAAAATAGATTATTGTCCATCTGAATATGCTTTGCATCCGCCACAAACTACAACAAGATAAATTTTATGACTTGAATCAAATTATTTATTCAGAAAGATAAATTATATTGCTTCATAGATGATAACGAGATGAAATAAATTATTTTTTTAATCTTTTAATCTTTGATTTAAAAAAAATAAAAGTTTTCAACTGTTCTCGTCCCAATTTGAAAAAAAATAACTTTCCCCACAAACCACATGCCTAGTTTTCAAATAAATAAATTAAACTTAAAAATTAGAGAACCAGCAAAAAAATCAATTAAAATTTATTATTAATTTTACAAGGTATTTCTTTTACTATATTTTATTTCATTTCCATCTGGTTTCTAAATCAGTTCCGATAAAACCCGATCGATTACGTTTCCTCTCGCTATCATTTTTGCCATCATCCGTTGGGTAAGCGTTGATTGTTTTATCTTTAATTTTCATTGACTTTTGGCTATTTTTGGTGTTGTTTCGAATTGATCTTGGTGTTGATTGTTTTTCGGTTAATCGGTCGTCGTCCCCATCCCC